GGTCTCATAGATGCAATTGTTTGTGAGCTCCCAGCAACAAAACCGAGCCCCATTTCATCGTTCGCTCCCTCTACCTCGCCCAGCGAAATACCTTCGAACGAYCCTTCGGTGGAACCCTCGATTTTTCCAAGTAAGGAACCATCATTTTCTCCATCATTGCATCCGTCGGTTGTTCCAAGTTCTTTTCCGTCAGTCGCTCCTTCCGATGTTCCCAGTTTGAAACCCAGCGYTATTCACTCATCTCTACCGAGTAGAAGCGCGGTTCCTAGTGGTTCACCTAGTGCAGTACCAAGTATCATGCCTAGCTTTTCTCCTTCGCTTTCTAGCCTACCAAGCTTGCATCCCAGCCCTCAACCCAGCACTTCGCCTAGTGCTTCTCCAAGTCAAAGTCAAAAACCGTCTTTTGATGGTCAGACCTACGCACCTACTGCCTCTCCATCTTCAGGTCCTTCACTGATTCCTTCCACAAATCCTAGCTTTTCTCCCAGCTCTCAACCCAGCAATTCTCCTAGTGCTTCCCCAAGTCATAGTCAAAAACCGTCTTTCGATGGTCAGACATACGCACCTACTGCATCTCCATCCTCGGGCCCCTCGTCGCTTCCTTCCTCATTTCCATCTCAATCCCCATCGGCAATCCCCACCACCATACCATCAACAACCTCTGTAACGAATGCTGCGTTTTTCCAAGGTACACAATCCACTCAAGTCGAGGTCGCATATTTCACAGTTATCAGCTCTTCACTCAGCTCTACACTCAGCTCTAGGCGCATGTTGCAAACTGGACTAGTCGACGTAGAGGCACTTCAACGGGCATGTACCTTCGAAGCACCCCTAGATCTTTCCGATGAAGTTTGTTATGAGGTTAAAGTTGTTATCACTGCCCCAGTATATACAGGTGTAAATACGGAAGAGGCTATATCCAATATGGAAAGTAGTGTCCAAGATGGATCTTTTGCAACCAAGCTTGAAGAACAAGGCTTACTTGGCGCCTTTGTAGCTTTGCCACCAAGCCAAGAACCAAGTTCTAAACCGAGTGCATTTCCTAGCATATCTATGAAACCAAGTGTTATGGCTAGTAACCAACCTAGCATGAGCGGTAGCCCGTCCGTCGCGCAAAGTTCCGAGCCAAGTTTGAGCTTTCAACCCAGTTCCCAACCAACTTCAATGCGGAGTTCTACTCCCAGCTTAATTCCTAGCACCGTTCCGAGTGCAACGCCCAGTATCTCTACGAAACCAAGTATTGTGCTGAGTTCTCAGCCAACTGTAAGTTTGAAACCCAGCGCCAGTGCCATGCCCAGCTCCATCTTTAGTGCGGCTCCTAGTACTTCTGRGAGACCAAGTGTCGTGCCAAGCTCTCAACATAGCATCCAGCCAAGTGCAAGTGTGAAACCAAGCACCCAACCAAGTGTGATGCCGAGTCTCAATCCCAGCGCCGTTCCAAGCATRGCACCCAGTATATCTGCAAAGCCAAGTACAATGGGTAGCTCCCAGCCCAGCTTGAGTTTGAGACCCAGTTCTCAACCAAGTTTAATGCCGAGTGTCAATCCCAGCTCCAATCCCAGTTCTGTTCAAAGCATAGCACCCAGTATATCTGCAAAGCCAAGT